CTCACTCTGGGTGGGGGAGTTTGAAGTGACTAAGGTAATTGAGTCTTGTCCTGACTCCATTTTATGTCTCCCTAGACAATTCTCAGGCCTCAAAGCCCCCAACATTGGTTGCTTATTTGGGCTTTCCATGCCCCTGGCCACTGTCCAGGTGTATTAACCAAGATAATTAATATTTATACAAACTAAGCATAGACTGAAATAACTGAAAACTATATAAATCAAACCATCATGTTGTATTTGAAGTAACTACTATGTAGAACCAAAACGAATATCGCATGGTTACTCTGGCCCTCAGCTATCATTGATGTGACTGTGGGTTTTTTGGCTTTCAAAACACTGTACATCTGAGCTTCAGCACCAAGAGTGTTTCTGAGGTGTTAACCTTCCACAAATAAAGAATTCAATTTGGCCTTATACATGTTGTGGTCTGACTTTCTAACCTGTAGTGTAACAAATTCTCATGAAAGAGACAGTACGTGGGGCATCGGCCACAACTAGGATAAAGTCTAAGAATCAAGAGAAAGATCTCGCTTTCACTATTTCATACTATTTCCTGCTGCAAAGCCCTTCTCCCTCTCAGTCTGCACTCTTGCATGGACACCTATGACTCCACTGCTATTCTTCTGCTAAGGTGGATGAGCAGCTGGGCCCAGACCAACCCTTCCATCTCAAGCTACAATCAACCATCCACACAGTGTTGGTGGCTTAAGGACATGTGGGTCATGTGGAAGTGATCACAGGCAAAAAAAAGTTTCCCGTCCCAAGATTTTTCTACCTTTGCATGGATGTTTTTGGAGGTTTCTGGAACCACTACAGCCAGCAATGTAATGACATGTGGGAGGCAAGAAGGTGGTTTGGTTCAACTCAGTAGCCAGTGTTGGTTCAAACTTCCGGTGTCTGACCCCCAGTAGTTTATTTTAGACACATTTATGCACAGCTGGATTTGATGAAAATTTCCTGGTGATAATTAACTCAATCCCCTGTGTACAATAAAGCTTAAGACATGGCTACATTGAAATTTTTATGAAGTTCATGTGACACCTCCCAAAACGGTGGATTCTGTAGATTGTCAAGCTAAGGATAAGGATCTGGCGAGAGTCTTGCCACACAGATAGTGACAAAGTCGCCAGGCTATTGCCGACATCTGCTTCCAGCTTCCTGGGTGGAAACCAGGCCATGGATCCCTCCCTTTGAAAGGACAACCCTGTGTGTTTTTTGCATTCCTGGATCCTAGCACTTATCTTTGAGCACAGGGAACTCCATACCTCCCACAGAGGTGCTGGGTGTGGGCGTTTAATGATTGGTCAGTGTGTATGTATAAAGGTCTGTAGGGTGTCCACGGTCCATCATTCTAGAAGGCCAGCCTACTTCTAGAAGTCACTGTGGGCATGGCAAAGGCCTGGCTAACCGTTACATAACCTCTGTCTGTCTTCCTCAATTTGCCCAGCGTGTTGATTTAGGGGTATTCTGTTATTCTGTCTTATAGTCTTCCTCTAGAGCCCTCATCAGCGAAGACAATTTTGGAGGATCCGTGAAGTCAGCACTCTTCCTTGCCGCTAAAATGATGTCCGTGTCTTTGTACACTACATGTAGGCTCAGAGATTTCTACATGTTAAGCGGCTCCTCATGACAGCACCCTTCCACTGGGGCCTGTGCTTTTGTATTATGATGCTTCAAATGTTCTTGACTGTAGTTCTTCTTATATTAAATGTTGCCAGCTACAACCCATGTAAATAAAAATTCATCAGAGCCCTCAGCTATTTTCAAGAGTGCTGTTGGAAGGACCCTGCTGTTTGAGGTTGCAGTCCTCCCAGTCCAGATAGCCATTCTGAGCTCAGTGGCATTAAGGGGCAGAACTCCCTCCCCTCAGCAGGACCTCCTGCTCTCTGACTTCATCTGGAGAGTGTCTCTAGACAGATGGCCCTAACCACATTTGATATACGGCCTTTGACACAGCTCCCTGCCAGCTGTCCCCTCACTGTGCGTATATGATACTTAGGTATTCGTATGGTAGGATTGTGCTGTTTAATGTAAATGAAGCATCCCTAAAGAGCCTAGTCCCAACCAATTATGCACATCTATCCTTGGAGCCGCCCCCCATTCCCTAAGGGGTATACAGCCTTTGTTCTCTGGAAGTAAAGCTGAACTAGCTCCCTGAAGTGGTTCCTGGAGTGGGTGATCCCTGAACAGTGCTCGCTAGCCATTTCAGGCAAGCTCCTGGTCTGGTGCCCCTCCTGACTTCGTGGGCCGGTGGGAGGCAGCTCCAGGTGGGAGAACCACAGAGTACAAAAAATTTATGAGATAAAAATATTTGAAAACGTATGGTTGAAAGCAAACACCATGTATAATCAAGACTATGCAGGAAGAGGAAGGTGAGGCATGTTTGCACATGGGCATGTTGGCTCTTGAACCCAGGATCTTTGACATGCTAGGCAATACCCTACTCTTGAGATACTAGCCTCAAAGGTAAGGTTTTTGTTTCATTTTTTTTTTTTATTCTTTATTATGATTTAAGACCTTTACTAACAGGTACTTTCAGTTTATTAACTTTTTTGGGAAAATCAAGTTGTAAGCTTTTATTACAAATTAAAAAAAAAACATTTGTTTAAATCTCAGCGTGACTAGATACTAAACAAGTTTAAAACCTTTAAAGGTATAGTTGAGAAAAACCAGGCTTTAAGAAATGTTATTATCAAAAAGAGACATCTTTAGGTAAAAATAACAAACCCACGCTGCATAAATAATGCAGATAATTCTAATGTACCAGGAAAAAGAAGTATATATTGTCAACAGACAAAAAGCAAGCACTTAGAGCCAGGTCAGGTGATGCACACCTGTAATCCCAGCACTCTGGGAGGCAGAGGCAGGCAGATCTCTGTGAGTTCAAGACCAGCCTGGTCTACAAAGTGAGTCCAGGACAGCCAAGGCTACACAGAGAAACCCTGTCTTGAAACAAACAAGTAGCACTTAATGGTCTTCATTATTTCTTTCTATCTTTCTTTACCATGCAACAAAAGCTTTATTAATATTTTAAACAGAGATTCAGCTAGTATTGAATCTTGCAATCTCTAAACTTAAAATGGGGCCAATGTCTATCTTGAAGAGTAATGCCATCACTGCCTGCTGGAAATGCAGACTGGAGAATTACTAGCCAACCCTCAGACAGAGGACCAGGTGAGTGGCTGACTCTTTCTGGATGTTGTAATCAGAAGGAGAGAGGCCATCTTCCAGCTGCTTGCCAGCAAATGATGAGCCTCTGCTGCTCTGGGGTTGGGGAGGGGAAGTAGGGTGGATACCCTCTTTATCCTGGATCTTGGCCTTTACATTCTCCATGGGGTCACTGGGTTCCACCTCTATGGTGAAGGTCTTGCCCGTCAGGGTCTTCATGAAGATTTGCAACTTGACCTGTTAACGAAGTGATGAAACCACAAACCGCCAAGCTCATCAAAACACTTAAACTCAGGAACAGGACAAAGCCTCTCGTCACTCTGGAGTTGCTGGAATTTCATATTCATTTCTTCATTTTGAAGACTAAGCTGAAGGATGGTAGAGACATGAACCTGCCTGGCCTCGGGATTTTCAGCGAGTGGGGCGGCTGTTTTTGGCTCTTTACCTTCTTCTGGTTTTGAGTTCTCTGTGGTGGTAATTGAGGTTGTATCGGTAACCATGCTGAGGTGGTTGCTTGACTCTTGATTTCCCTTGTCTTCTTAACTGCTGCCCTAGCTAGACAGGAGGGCCGGCCCCTGTAGAATCCTCCATCATTTCTCTCCTTGCACAGGAAGGCTAGGGTACTGTGGCAGTACATCGCCCGTGCGGCCTCTGAATGCAATAACGGAAACCTGGCCTGCGGGAGCTCTCTTGGATCACTCATTCATTTTTTGCCACTCTCACTATTCCGGCAATTCTGCCGGTGATTTCAAGGATGACCCCTTCGTCTGAATAGCTGCTGTGATGGTCATGGTCAGCTGCGTGTTTACTGCCTCGAACTGGAACTCCATCAGTAGTAACATTTGCTACCTGGCCACCCCTTTCTCCTTCAGCAACATCAAGTTCACGTGTTTCTCCATCTCCTACATTGCAAAGGTACTTCTGGGTTATCCTTTATGGCGGCCCGGGGTACACATACGTCTTCCTCGGCATCTATCCGCTCCTCACATTGAACCATTTCACTGTTCGCCAAGCCTTCATCGCGATGACCTTCTGATCCCCGCCGGGACACTGCCGCTGTGAAGCATCTGCTGCCGCTGGAGTCAGGCTCGGTAGCAGCTCCGAGGACAGCCTCTTGGTCTCGTTCTTGCTGCTTGTGGTTGTGGTGGTGGGTGACCGGACTGTGGCAGCGTTTTTAGCTGCTCGGGGTTCTCTGAGGTCCTCTCCTGGGGGCTACTTATGGAACTCTGAATCAAAGCACTACTTTCAAGTCACACTTTTAAACGCCAGACACAAACACACTGAAGTCTGTCCTGCAGTCGTGTTGTATCCAGAGCTCTCGTACCCGGAAGGCCTTGCTTGCCAGACTTGATGTGGGGGCTCACCCAGCGGGACCAGCCTGTCTCTGACTTAGACCGATCAGTGGCAAGTGTTCAGCCTTAGGTGGTAAATGGCACTTGGAGCAAAGCATTCACTAAGAAGCTCGGTAAGAAAGACTAAGGCATGAAATTGAGAAGGCTTGGTGATGTCTCCATGACCCTAGAAGGCCATGTGCTATTGTGTTCATACTCTGAGGAGGCCTGCAGGTGGCGCTAAACTCCCAGGAGCTGATACAAGGGTCAGTGCAACCTAATCCTTACAGCGTCAGGAGCTACTGCCGCTCCAAGTCCAGAGCTCAGCAAGCCCCATGGCCCCATAGCCCCAGTGAGCTCTCCAGTCATACAAAAGGCTTCTTCCAGCTGCCTGGCGCGCGCGCGCGCGCGCGCGCGCGCACACACACACACACACACACACACACACACACACACACACACACAC